GTGATGGTGTCCGACCTTTTTATGCTGCTGGAGGGTATTCAAAAACTAAAGCTGCAAATTCAGACGGATATTTTGATGACTTCAAGCGTGCTTTTATAGGCGATGATCCAACCGACTTACTTAAAAGGCGCTCTTCATCCGAACAGCGGGACAAAAAGTACTGGGTTCCATCTGGCGCTAGTAAGAGGCTCTGTGGAGTTGGTAGCCAGTATGGAAACTTCACTACCATAATACCCTATATGGAAGGTAGCGTGAGGGAGCAACCCGTGAAGCTTAAAGGTTTACCTAATTTCTACACAAATCCTGGAAAGAAGGGTACCGGGTATGGATATCCAAACGTGGCTTTGAATCCCCTGCCTGAATGGGAACCTGGCGATGGCACGTCCTCGGATCTCAATGCAGTATCAGTGAAGGAACTAAATCAGAAACATCGTGATCTAAGCCTTGGAAGGGCAGCATTCGTTTCTGCACACCCGGGTGGAAGAGACTTCGATCAAAATCCCTATGAAGGAGGCGATCCACTAGCTCCAGGAGGTCGCCCCTTGATGAATTTCAGGGAAAACGAGACTTCAAAAGGTGAAACAAAAACTTCTGCATTCTATCCTTCGAATGCATTTATGAAATACAAATTTCCGGAATATGAGAGTGAACCATTTAAGGAAGTGGAGAAGATTATGCAAGAAAAATTCAAGTCGAAGCTTATCCGAGGACAACCAATCTGGTACCCACCTGCAACCACGGCGCTAGAAAAGCCGAGCATGTCGGTGATAAACAAAAATATCGATCTGGCTATTAATCCAGTCACTAGGAAGACGAGAACATTTGTCACAAAATTCTGTGAACCAAAGTAAAGTAAAGTCGCAAATCAATTATTGTGTTTTCATATTAGAGTGATTCCAGCATGCAATAACCAAATATCCGCAATATATTAGTTGAGAGGGGAGGAGACGATAAATTTGGGGATGTTAGGGCTTCAAGAAATTGTACTTATTATCAAGGAAAACATATTTTGTCATCAAATGACCTTCATTCTCTGCTTGACTTATTGACAAGTATCTTGCCTATTTCCAATTTAAATGACTTTCGAAGTTAATACAATAATTATATGGAACAGTCTAGATACATGAATGGGTTTAGGAAATTTATAATTTCGAGGTTGGAAAGGTGCTATAATTAAAGCCCTAACTCATTAAAGAATTAATACGTTTATTAAATTAATAATCGTTATGTAAAACTGGACTGCTCGAGAGCCAATATATTTGGATGGGTCTATAGTGAGTAGTAGAAAAGACCCCCCTTGACACTATTTTGGAAACAGACTTACAATGAAGAATGGGCTTACTTGGGTTTCGTCGTCATCTGTTACATGACTTAATCCTCACAAAGTACCATGAAGGGGTTATTAAACAATGCAGGTACTATTGATTGGCGGCACTTGCTCCTTATGCGATAAGGAGCATGGTCGCATCCTCGAACCTGTCTGGTTGGGTATGAGATTTCTTTGTTCTGCCATGATAGCGTGTATGTCGCATGAAATAGTGGGCACTATTCAATAGGTATTTGGTGAAAAAGTCGACGACGTTCTGTTGTGTTCATCTACTTGTCGGTAGGTTACAATCCTCCAACGATTGAGATTGACCACGTAATTTGAAAATTCATCAAGTTGATTTTGACAAATGAAAGATTTGATGTGGCTTTGCATGCCTAGTGGTACATTTAGATTTATGATTAAAATAATATATTTATTTATATCAAATGGCAGGCGTTTTGATTGTTATCATTAGCCCTTTAGTTGACTTCAGGCTTCTCAGAGGGGGAGGAACATCAAAGTGAACAAAAATCGAGAGGGAGGGGGAACAGGAGAGTGATTCGCAGATCTAAAAGAGACAGAAGGGTGCTTCGAAGATGTAAAAGAGACAAACACAAAGGTAGGAAAAAGGTGAGGTAAATACTGTAGAAGTAGTCGAATATGACATACAGTGGTGTCATGGTAGTTTGAAGTGAGAAGTCAACTGCCGGTTAATTGACTTTTTTGCCGTATGAGTATACGTTGCCCAGGGTGCACCACGTGGAGGTAAGTCTATCGCACACCAAAAGTTGAATTTAATAATTTAGCGCCTTGACAGTTACACAACTAAAATAAACGTGTTCTACGCCATACGTCTATTTCATCTATAAATTAGGTAGCTGAGCTATTTTCGAGTCTTTCCATACAAGGGACTCAGATATTTCCTTAACGTCTTTTTACAAATTTTCAATAATAGATTTTATTACGAATTATCAAGATCTTGTCAAGATAGGTAGAATTAAAGCGAAATCAATAACGGATTCTTTAAGCATAAATAGTATCAAAAAACAACTGTCTTTAAGTATTCAGAGTATTTCGAATTTTAAGATATTTTAAATAAAACTGATTTTTCTTTGAATTAATTAGCAAGATTACCTTTAGAGTGAATTTTATCGAGGTATCCACATTGTTACAGACGATCAAATCCTTGCCAACAATTCCACAGACTTTAAACCGAGACAATTCTTCAACTGTCCCAAAGAGCTTCGACAAAGCAGTATCTTGACACAAGGAGGCCAAATTAGGGGGTTCCACCCAACTTGGACAGGATGTTTTTTCCTTCTCCTCCTTCTTCCACCCATTACTCGTTGTCACACTGTTTCCCAAATGCTCGCGATAAATATACTCCAACTTTGAAAGACAAACAGAAAGTAAGCACCGATATTCCTCTGTATCAGATGGATTTGAATTTATCTTCATAAGAAGATTGGATATAGCGTCTTTGTAGCTTTTGTAGGCATCACACCAATTTCGTCTGACTATAAACCTTCGTGCTGAAATGATGTCTTGTACAATCTTGGAATTTTGGGCTTCGGCATGCATCCAAACAAGCGGCAGTGTATCCCCTTCGTACTCACTATCTATATCACTGGAAACAGGTGAATCAAATGGTTCTTCCAACAGCGGTTCGACTCTCCGAGTTGGAATTGATGTCCCACCCGATATAGCACTAAATGAGGCGATTGAATCTGAACGACTGAAAGTAGGTGATGAAGGATAGGATTGAGGATTTGAAAAACCTCGATTGAATTGGACAACGATTTTATAATCACGAGTTGAAGCATCGTTTGAAAAACCAGCCGCAACAAAACGGGTGAAGTACGTGTGGCAATAAAGATGTTCATTCCTGGCAATAAATTTGACAAAGGTGTCCAAAGCCTGGCGTCGTTCTTCTATCAAACGAGGACTGAAGCGATCTGAACAGAAATGCAGATAATAAGAACTGACAAAAGAACATACTGAAGCGATCATATTTCGATAAAGTTGGAAAACGCTGCTGACCGTCGAAGGATTTATGAATTCGTAAAAGATTTCGATGCAAAGTAATAAAATCACTAAAGCGTTTGTATGTCTAATGAAATAATTAAAGCAAGAATTTAAACCATACAATACTTTTCCCATTATCACCCTTTGAGGGAATTAGAGTGACCAACCGGTAGACCATGTACTTTCCACTCGGATGTAGACAAGACCGATCAACACTTGCGGTTATTTCTTGCTCTCCAGACATCGGCTTAAATTATGGAAAAAATAACTGCAAAGGGGCGAGCCAATTTAAGAATAAAAATTAGCTGAAGTAATTATAGGCAGGCCAGCTGAAATAAACTTCTAAAAAAATTGGAAACAAAATTACCCAAGCGATGACCCTAATCAATCATTGGTCAAAATAACAGATTTTGGAACCCGCTCCTATAAATGACCTACATCCTATCAAATATAATCACGAGATTCTACAGATCTTATCTGCCATTAGCATGAAAACAAATGCACTATAAAGCTAAAGTTTTTTCTTTCTACTAATTACATATTAAATCAGTGAACAAACTCAAAAGACTCAAGGTTATCAAAAGTAAAGCGGTAAATTGAAGCTGGGCTTGTGTCGTATGTCTATTCCATATTGGCTTTCTCTTTTGAAATAGTTTCTTCTGATTATATTTCGCACATCTAATGGCATTACTTTGCTTTTTAATATTGCATACACTTATTCCTTAATGTTGGACCGCAACATGTTCTAAAATCTCTTTTTATTCTTAACTCTGTACTGTAATTTCAGATAATCTAACAATGAACAGTCTTGCAAGATTGCCATATCGCAAGCTTTTTGGGCCAATTGTTGCCCCACGGTTATTTGCCAGCACTCACTTTGGTTTTCAAACCGTCGATGAGGCAGATAAGCAGGCAAAAGTAGACAAAGTATTCACTGGTGTTGCTCGAAAATACGACATTATGAATGATGCAATGAGTGGTGGTATCCATCGTATTTGGAAGAATTTCTTCGTTCA